GCCGTTTTTGTCTCATTCAGGAAGAATAAGATTCAAATCACTTGCAAAACAATATCTTCAAGCATCATGTCGGCTCGACTGCGTAAACTCATGAATAGTTCATCAATAGAGGGAAATGTACCCCGGTGTCTTGGGCAATTTTCGCCTTGAAATCATACCCTGTGAGTATGGATGCCTCAGAACAAGAATTGCACCCCCAGGGTTCATATATGCTACACTATGCAATATCCTTGCCATGGTCAGTCCTCACCTCCGACACCCCCCGAATCTCTTCTCGGTCCGCCCCCGCGAACGCTGTATCGCCAAACAACTCTGCAATCTCCTCCAACGTGCTGTTCGCCGTCTCCACGTAGTAGAAGTACACCAGCCCAGCTGAGAACAAACAGAACCCGGCGATCACCAGGTAGAAATACCCGTGGATTCCGGCAAAAGCATCCGGAGAAACCATGCCGATGATGAAATTGAAGATCCAGTTACTGGTGGTGGCCAGCGCCATGCCCTTGCTGCGGCCGCGCAGGGGGAAAATCTCGGCGGGAAGAAGCCACGGCATCGGACCCCACGTGAACCCGTATACAATGTTGTAGAGCATGACGAAGGCGTACTGTCCGTTCGCGCGGGTGTGGATGTCCAAGTCCGCTTCCGTGAAGGCGCAGACGATACTGAGCAGGATTGCCATACCGACACCTGGTTTGATGGAAGTGTTAGCTGTCCGGCCCTGATAAGATTCTCACTGATTGGGGAAACTCACCTCCGAGGATGAGCAACGGCTTCCGACCCCACTTGTCTGCCAACCACCATGTTACGACTGTAGCCGCAGTATACGGAAGCGCGTTCGCTGCGGTGTAGAGCAAAGACTTTCGTTCATCGAAGCCCGCGGTGGCAAGAGTGCTGGGAAGGTAGAAGGAGATGATGTTGATGCCGTTGAGCTGCGCGAACATCTGCACCGTAATCCCGACAATGGTCCGTTTGCGGTATCGCGTGAACATCTCCTGTTGACTGTCTTAGTATCGCGCTGAATGACAAAAGGCATGAGGATTTTACCATCCAAGTGGACTTTCCGAGGTTGCTTTCGAAGATGACAGCCTCTTCAATCTCGACGAAGACCTTTTGCACATGCTCGGCTTCGGTATCACCGTTCGCGTGCAGGTCGGCGACGGTCTGCAGACTGTCCTTCATGAATCCGTTCTTGGCCAGCCAACGCGGGGTCTCAGGGAGATAAAATGACATTGCTAGCAGGATAAACGAGAGGATGATCTGGATGATGAACGGCCCCTGCCAAGACATCTCCCCCGGCAAGAGGAAATTGAAGCCGTAGTCCACCCAGCACGAAAGCATGTATCCGGCAATGAGGAAGGTATACTCAATCCCTACCATCATTCCACGCCGATGCGGGGCGGCGATCTCCGTCTGGATGATGGGCACAGTCATGGACAGAAACCCGACACCCAAGCCCTGGATGGTGCGACCAGCAATGAAGGTGCCAAACCCAGGGGCGAACATTTGGATGAACGCGCTGAAGAAGTAGATGAACCCTCCAATCCGCACACACTTCTTGCGCCCGATGATATCGCCGAGTCGTCCTGCGATGAGAGCGCCCACCGCTGCGGAGGCCTGTAGACATGCCACTGCTATGCCGGTAATCGAGGGATCGACGCCGGATGTTGAACCGTCTGCACCGCCGTAGTCTTTGAAGAAGCGGGCGACAAACACGGGATTCACGAGAAGACCCGACATGATACCTGGGTCGATATTGCCATTAGCCGTTCTTCTCGTTTGGTCTTTTTTCTTTTTCTTTTTATAGCTTGACGGTCGGGGTAGGACATACCGGAGTTGTACCCGAACAGGGCATCGCCCAAACTACCGAACGCACATGTCGCATAGAGCAGAGGGGCGCCCTTGAAGGGATATCGGGCGGTGATGGTCTTGGGCTTCAACCTTCTCTCCAACCAGCCTTGTTGTTCATATTCGCGAGCAGCTACCGCCTGTGCGGTGCGGGTTAGGGCAGCCTTGTCGGTTGCTGCAATGGCTTCTTTCACGGACATCGCGCCAAAGTGCTGCGGATGAGCACTGTCAATCAGATAAAAATGAGTTCTCGTTATCATCACGACACAGCACGAGGCATTCTGGGGCAGAGTGGCCGTGGGGCCGTATTTCTACCCCGGAGAGTCGTCCCATGGGGAAGCGAAGGGTTGCTGCTCCAGGTTTAGGGAAGTGGAGCCTTTGGACGATGATTGAATCCGAAGTAACGTAGGCCAGGCCGACAGGCCTCAAGCCAAGCCGGTTGAAACATCTTCTAGGGTCACCGGATGCCTATGAGGGGAAATGTTTTCGGTTCCGACCGCAGTGGGTTCCGTTCCCACTTGGTCCGACTCCCGAAAGCCCTCATCTTCCGCCGGAACCGAAGACATTCATTCACTGTCCGGAGGATTGAATCTTAACCGCGCCGGTAGGAAGCCATTTAGGGTCACGTGAATGCGATTGTCCTACAACATACTACCGGTATCTATACCGATGCCCACTACACTAGGAGGCATACCCATTAAGCGAAAAATGCTGCTAAAATTCTTAGCTAGGCTCATGAGCATGTGGGATAGGGAACTGACTGCGGTTGACCTCCAGTATCTCCACCGTGGCAAGGCGACATTACCTATCATCCCCAGAATCGCTATAACGGCTTCAAACTGCTTCATAGCCCAACCACAAAGTTTGATAACAAGAAGTGAGCTCACGGGCTCGAAGTACGATGGATTGCCGGAGGCACCCATCCCATCTTCTGGAACCATCTCCTGCGAATAATCATCCCTATAAACGACTCTGGCGTCCTGATTCCAGCGATTTTGATCTCGAGTTGCAAGGTAAGTGAGAGTATCGGGTCTAATATGACTCTGGAACAACTCTTCTAGCTCGAGTTGACCGAAGAAGGGGGCGCTCCTTTCTTTCTTCTGATCAGAGCCTTGTCAGCATGGTGTTCTGCAGTGCACCGTCAAACTCGAACCATCACTTTGGCTTGAGCCGGATTCTCCAGAATCTGGTCAAGATGACAGCCCTGCATGACCAAGGCCCAAAACCAGATGTGAGTGGGCCACAAAGGCCTGATATGCTAGCACACCATCCAGGAACCTCATGTCGCCTACAAACTCTCTCAACGCCCACGGATCCACAAAACAGAGTGAGCCTGCTTGCGGATTGGGAAACACCTGATGGAGAGCCGAATCCGCCCTGGCGGAGGTTCCGGCGGAAATATTGCCTTGTATCATGGGCATGAGTACAGACCTATTTTGCCCGAGACGAAAGAGACTGCGGACGTCATTCCTAGATCACCATCGCGTCGCAGTTCGAATTAAGCCGCCTACACCTTTGTGATTACATAAATGCCACTGGGCTTTGAGTGAGGCGGGCTTTACCTCAGAGCCGAAGTGACCAGGTCGGATTGATAATAGTTTTGCCACTCTCGCCAAGTAGATGGCCTAGCGGTCTATGAACTGATCCTAGTAGGATCTGTCGTATGCCATGCCCATTCCATCCCATTCTACGACCGCCAGAGTTCAGACCATTGACTCACTCGGGCCCAGGCTAGGAAAATGATCGGGAATGGTCGGTCAAACTCGCGTGCCTTGATGGTATTCGATCTCACTCGATGTTTCAATCACGCGTGTATGTCGTGCAACATCTTTCACTTCATCACCTTTGGGCCCAATGACTGTCTCCAACAGATTGGAATCAGTATCGGTACATAACGCAAAGAAAATGTCGCTCTAGAGATTCCGCCTGACAGAGGTAGCTAAGGCTAGGTTACATGGTCATCACGAGGTCTGCTCATCATCCAAGTCGGCACCCGCCCGCTCACAGCCCCGCCTTCCGTATATTAGGAGGCTCGCCCAATATCCACGGCCATCTCAGGAAGATGAAGCTGCATCGTCATATCACTTTCTGCAGGTCGCACACTGTCTCTCCGTCCACACTTACGAAGTTTCATCTCTTCTAAACCGGAAGATGAGCGTTTCATACGCCAGAGTCTTGAGCGAGACTCACTACTTAGGGCTTTCATATTCAAGTCCAAGGCTAGGCCATTCCGTCCAGGTGACTTGAAGTATTGGTAAGCCGCCACCTGTTGGCTCGCCAATTTGGATGTAATTCACACTAATGCCTTTTCTCAAGCATTGATCCTCGACATCAGAAGAATCGGGTGATGGATATTATGTTGGTCGATTGAATCGCTCCTGGTGAGACATTTGTGTGGTTACGACGAGCACAACATCCTTGACTGCGGCTTCGACTCGCCCTGGATGTGACTAGTATGCGGCATGCCGCCAGTCTGAATGCCTCCCCGTCACTCCCGGACTTCCAGAGTGCCTTACCATGCTTGACTTTGGATTCTCTCGTTTGTTGGCAGAAGATTGACATTCCTTTGTGAGACAAGGAACATTCGAATTTGTCTTTGGGCTGTCTGCCGATCGTTGCGCATGGGCCGCCGATTTCGAGAACAGCTACCTAGACAGGTCGGATGCTCGTTAGAATTGTTCTCCAAACCAAAGATTCTCCTGTCTCTCATAGTGCGACCGGACCCAGATCCAGAAGACCAAAAGACAGAATCACATCACGCCGCGGTGGAGAAGAAATGTGGCGTACCTCCAGGCGGTTAATGTGAAAATCACGCATATGACAAGGGCTAGAAGTAAGACCTAGTGTCGGGGTAACAAAGAAATTCACATCACACGGACTCGGCTGTTTGCTTTTCTCATATAGAAGTCCAATCCCATGCCAGAGTCTCCAGTGCTGACCTCGACTCACATTCTCGAATCACCAACCATCATTTCACAAGTGAAGTTGGTTCTTGTTTCCTCTTCGTGGGGTTGCAAAACATTGACCGCTGCTGGGTTAGCACGACTCGACTTTTACCTGACCCTGGTCTGTCTCAACAAGGATAAGAACGACGGAACTATATAACTTAATCTCTATCGCTGCTCCTGCTGCCCTTTCTAACTTCAGAATAATATACCATGATGACTCTCAACACCTCCACTGATTTTGACCCTCGCAGTCAACTGGTGCCGCATATTGTCGATCACTTTGCCGCCACCAAGCCAGAAGCTGTGTATGCTGAATACCCCCGCAACCTCGCAAGCTATGAAGAGGGGTACCAGCCCATCACATACAAAGTTCTCGCCAATGCCATTAACGGCCTTGCCCACTGGCTGGTGAGCCACCTAGGCCCCGGCAAGGGAGAGGTTCTCACCTACGTTGGCCCTAATGATTTGCGATACCCAGCTTTGATTCTTGGGGCTGTGAAAGCGGGTTACTGCGTATGGTGACTCTCGTTACTACTTCCACATCACTGCTAGTCTCAACTAATACAGAAGGCAGATCTTCTTGACTTCGCCCCGGAACAGCCCCGTGGCCCATCAGTCCTTGTTACAGAAGCTCAGCCGCACCACGCTGATTGCTCCTGTGCCACGCCCTCCTGCCGCGGCAGCAATCCTGGAGGCCGTCTCGCTCCAGGTCCTCAACATCCCGAGTATGGAGGAACTCGTAAGCATCGAGTATCCGCCCTTCGAATTTTCGAAGACCTACCCGGAAGCGGCCCTCGAGCCACTGGTCATAATCCATACCTCAGGGTCCACCGGAATCCCTAAGCCCATCACATGGACCCACGAGACAGCTGTCAAACATATGCGGATGCAAGCTCTGGACCCTCCCCCGGGTTTTGAGACACAAACCCAATGGGCCTTCGGCAAGAAAATGTACATGATGCTGCCCCCCTTTCACGCCGGCGGAGTGGGGCATCTCCTGTTCGTCACTCTGCCTGTAGGGATCACGCTTGTGATGCCAATCTCTCGAAGCTTGCCTACCGCTGCCGGGATGGTGGCAGCGCGCCAGCAGACGCCCTTCAGCTTCGCTTTCGTGACACCATCAATCGTCTCGGAGCTGGCACAGACCCCCGAGCTACTGGACTACGTCCGCACCCACTTGGAGTTCCTCGGGTACTGCGGCGGGGATCTACCCCAGGCGATCGGTGACACAGTGGCTGAGCGGATCAAACTGGTGAACATCTATGGTGCCACGGAGATGGGACTGATCTCCGCGATTCACTCGACGGCCGACCGAGGTTCGACCAAGGACTGGCGGTATACGCGTTTCCACCCTCATCTCGGGGTGCAGATGCGCCACGTCTCGGGCGAGGAGCATGAGCTGGTCATCGTGCGTACCCCTGAGTACGAGCGCCACCAGTTCCCTTTCAGTATCTTCCCTGATCGTCAGGAGTACCACACTTCCGACCTCTTCATCCGTCATCCGGATCCGGCCAAGGCCGATCTGTGGCGCACAACGTCACGTCTAGACGATGTGATTGTCTTTCTCAACGACGAGAAGACGAACCCGATCTCGATGGAGCAGCATATCGTTGCCGCCAACCGGGAGGTGACTGGCTGCCTGGTCGCCGGTGCTCAACGCTTTCAAGCCGCGCTGATCGTGGAGCTCAGGAAGGCAGAAGCAGCGCCGAGTGCCAGTGAGCGCGCGGCGATGATTGAGAAGCTCTGGCCAAGCATTCAGGAGGCCAACAGCGCCTGTCCGGCTCACGCCCGCATTACCAAGAGCCACATTCTGTTTACCACCCCGAAGAAACCCATGTTGCGCGCTGGCAAGGGTACCGTCCAACGTGCTGGTACATTGATGCTCTATGCGTCGGAGCTGGAGGCTCTCTACACCGACGCCGAGAAGTTGGCGCAGGCGACCGGGGGCATGGTGGCAGGGCCCGGTAGCGTGGATGATACTAGCCAGGTCGCCGAATACATTCGTACCTCTATCCTGGCCATCACGGGGTGGAGTGCAGAGAAGCTTTGCAATGCAGAGAACTGGTTCACTCTTGGCTTGGACTCCCTGCAGACGATCACATTGACCCGAGAGCTGAAGCATGGTCTCAATCTACCTGCTCTCACGCCTAATCTGATTTACTTGCATCCTTCCGTGACGGCGCTCACCCATGCGGTCGAAAAGCTGCATCAGCAGGGTAGGGAGTCAATGCAACTGCAGCAGGAGACTTTGCTTCAGGAGCGCGACCAGCTGCTGCAGAAGTTCACTAGCCAGATCGAATTGCCCGCGGATTGCGCTGCGCGGTCTGCGACCAGACCGTCGACACAGACGCTAGTTCTTACCGGCTCCACGGGCCAACTGGGGTCATACATCCTCCATGCACTCCTTCACAGTCCCTCGATGGCACACGTCCATTGCCTCAACCGCAATGAACACGCTCGAGAGATACAGCACGAGCGCATGGTGACGTATGGTCTAACGCCCCTGGCTAACGACGAGTCTCGCGTGAGTTTCTGGACAGCGGATCTCAGCCGAGCAGATCTCGGATTGCAGCGCGGAGTCTTCAAGCAGCTACAGCAAACGACAACATTGATCATCCACAACGCCTGAACGGTGAACTTCAACCACTCCCTCGCGTTCTTCGAGCCCCATCTCCAGGGTGTAGTGAACCTCATCAATTTCACAGCTCGTAGCCCTCAGTCTCCACATCTTTTCTTTCTCTCCTCCATTAGCTCCACCATCGGCCATCGCACCGAGTCCGGCCTCACCCCCGAGACGATCATAACAACCACCACCCCTGCCCCGAACGGCTACGCGAACAGCAAGTACATCGCCGAGCATCCGCTCGCCCACGCTGCGCAACAGAAACTGCAGCAGCCATCCCAGAACCATAACGAGCGAAGACCCGCTTTCGCATTTGCCCGCGTCGGCCAGGTAGCCGGTGCAGTGCGCTCTCCGGGCCTCTGGAACCCGGCAGAATGGTTCCCAAGTCTTGTCCGGAGTTCGTGGCATCTCAACGCCCTTCCGGATACATTGGGTCCCGCATTGAATCGCATCGACTGGGTCCCAATCGATCTTCTGGCCGAGGTCTTGGTCGACTTAGCCCTTCTCGGCGGAGCCCAAGGTGGGAAAATGGCTGGTTCTGCGCGGGGGCAGGTGCAGGTTTACCATCCTGTTAACCTTCACCCCAAGTCCTGGGATGAGGTCCTCCCTATTATCGTCGGGGAACTCGCGGCGCGGCGCGGTGTCGATGAGCTTGAGATAGTCTCACTGCGGGAGTGGGTGCAGCGGGTTCGTTTCGATGTCGAGACCGCTGGGCGCGGGGAGGGCCGTCAGAAGTTCGATGAGAAGGAGTTACAGGTTCTTCTGGCGCATAATCCGGCGGCCAAACTGCTGGACTTCTTCGAGGAGCTAGTCGGACAGACTGAGTCGGAGAATGCGTTGGAGACGGTGCGGACAGCTAAGGTTAGTCGACGACTGCAGGAGGTGGAGGGGGTGCAGCCGGAATGGGTTCGGAAGTGGGTTGGTGAGTGGTTGGATTAGTTTTCCTCCGCAATCTTTGTTCGCTGGAATGGATCGATTCATTCACATTGGTGTCATTGCTTCTCTTTCGCGACAAGACTAGATATATGAGACGAAGCTGGCGCCTCCTTTCTAGAAGGTGAACGGTAACATGTGGCTGGAGCGGTAGACTCCGAGGTCTCATTGCAACACCCAAACCTTGTGAGGGCTTGACCCCAGAGCCTTTCTGCTTGGCCACATTGTTTATGTCGAAGTTTAGTGAGAGAGTAGACTGAGGTCAGGTCAGTCCACGTAAAATGAGACAGGTTCCATATTAATCTGCTGGTTAAGAGATAGAGATTCAAGACTCCTTGCCAGTATGTCAGTCTGTATGACAAGGGTTGTCGAGAGTACTACTGCTCTTTACTTGATCTACGCTCTAAAGCATACCTATCATACACTTCCTCCGAGTAAGTAGTAGAGTAAGTAGTAGAGTAAGTAGCAGAGTAAGTAGTAGAGTTGATCTGTCAAAATATGCCATTGAGTAATCTCTTGTTTCATTGGCGATTAGTGTTATTTACATTGCAAAAGTGTTATATCTTCAAGTAATGCAGCCGAGCCGGAGAATCAGCATGGGGCCGGGCTCGCCCATTTCCGCCGGGCGGCCAAGCGCAGGGAGGGTATACTCAAAGAGACCAGAGCAACGCATATCTCCGCGACGGAGCAGAAGTAGATCGGCACGATGTCTCTCGTCGGATCGTTGCCCCTGTAGAGCTTGACGATGTAGGCCAGGCGGATCGTTGCCATCGAACACGTCCTGATTAGGTCCATCAGTTCCGTCCGGTCGGGTCGATCATCGCATAGACGGGACTCACAATAGACCCGTTGAGCATAACAGCAGCAGAATACCGGTTCTTAAACGACATTTCACGTGAAGACCTGGAGCATGCTCAAACCACGTTTTAACAGTGAGATGTTCAATGTTGAAGACTCACCCAAAATTGGCCGGACAGGCAAAGCCGTGATCCAGATATTACTGATCAGGAAGACCACGGCCACATCGCACCAGAAGATGAGCTGGCTGATGCATGCACCTTGTGCGGCCTTGGGTTCAAACCAGAACCGCCCGATCGGGTGGCACTGGAAGATGGCCACGAAGATGAAGACGACGGTGATCACCACGATCACCGCGATGGTGATGGTGATGATGGTTCGCATGTGCTGGAAGACCTGGCGGTACAGAAAAAGGATCGACAGTTTCACCAACGCAGCGGAGGTGATGTAGAGGACCTGCACGGCCAGTTGGATCTAGAGACGGTGGTTTCAGCTGTGGAAGATCTTTTGCCGCTTGTGCTCGAACCTTTCCAAGGGCATCATAATCGATCCCGCCTTCCTCGCTCCTGCGGCCGATCCCACGCAGGACTCCTACAGACTGATTAGCGGGGGTTGAGAGAACCTTCGCCGTTGAAAGGTTACAGTACCCAGGATAATGGTCGCAAGCATCCCCGCACAGGTTACTATGGCCCCGAGACCACAGAGATCCTCGGCTATGCTCGACTTTGACAGCCAACAATGAATGACGAGTTTGAGCGATGTCATGACCAGTGCGACGTAGAATATACATGCTGAAAAGACTATGAGACTTAATCCGTAGCCAGATGGGCTTGAGTGCTGAGTGAAGTCAGCAGACCGAACGCTACTGCTTCAACAATAGCATAAGGATTTACCTCGTCCATTGAAAAGATTGTATTAAAAGAGTCTAGCAATGACTGCGAAGCCTGTGGCTACTAAAAGAATAGCTACCCGTGTTGAGATCCGGCACACAACTGCAGTGATAAACGATCCGAGCCCCAAATACTCTCGTGCGTCACCAGTGGACTGGGATGCCAAGAACCAGGGATCGAGATCAGTGGATGATCTCAGCCGAACCGTCGATCCAACCACCGAGTAAAGGCGGACCAGTCCAATGCGATTGTGGAAGTGTCCATGTGCTGCAGGGCGAATAGGTACAGGAAGGCTATGCAGCACCGTACTGGGCTGTACATCTATGCTATTAGTATGTAACTGCACTCCTTTGAAAAATCAGTTATGTCTTTATAAACTGGATTTGATCATGCGTAATCAGCCGAGGCAAAGGAAAAAGAAAAAGAAAAAGAAAAAGAAAAAGGAAGCTTGGCCGAACGGTCTCCACCCTCACAACCCAATCAATCATGGAAAGGCTTCTACAGTACTGTACCATACGGCACAAGTTTCTCCTCTCAGCTCAGGCATGTACTAAATGTGATAACGCCTCAGAAAGGTGGGGGATGGATGGATTGAGAATAGTATTGAATATTCAGAGCAATCGAATTCCTCTGCATCAGTTGACATGTCGAAGCTTGGACCGGTAGGCGCGAGAGGGTCTTAGTACATGTGATGTCAATCACAAGACTTTGTTCTTGAAGTTTAGTATCCTTTTCAAATCAATAGGGTATGAACAGTACTCCGACGGACTCCAATAAAAACGGTCCTTTGATGTCGCTACACACAACTCGCATTCAAGCATTTGCGCCCCCATCAACATTCCACACGGCCCCTGTCACATAGCTGCTCTGTTCGCTCAGCAAGAACGTCGCCACGTCTGCCACTTCCCTCGGTTGACCTGGCCGAGGAATCGGCGTATTCGATGCGGAGGAAGAAAGACCAGCGTTGTTTCTAACCTCATGAAACATCGGCGTCTCGATAGCTCCACTGTAGCCGTCTCTGAGAAATCTGCAAGAAAACGTGGGGTAAGACCAGAGGATTGAACATACGGTAACAGACAATTCACCCGGATGCCCCTGCATCCCACCTCGAGAGCTGCACTCTTGACCATCCCGACTGCGGCATGCTTGCTAGCAGCAAAGACGGCCCCCTTCTGGTAGCCCCGCGTACTGAACATGCTCGCAACATGCACGACGCTTTGCAGCTCACCGAGGAACCCAGGAGTCAGAGCCTCGCCCAGGATGTTGAAGAGCCCCTTGATATTCAGGTTGACGATGAAATCGTACTCCTCTGGACTGGTTTCCCAGATCGACTCCACCCCCAACTGTCGACCCCCGGTCCCCGCAAAATTAGCAATCCCATGAATAGCGCCAAGGTGATGCTGTGCCTCCGCGAGAGCAGCCTTGACCGCAGAACGGTCCGAAACGTCGACGGTCTGTGCCAAAACCTTGCCCGCATATTGGTCTTGGAGGGACTTTGCGACCTCCGCGAGCCGGCTACTGTTGATATCCCAGAGCGCCAGATAATGTCCACTGTTGGCAAGGCTGGTAGCCGTTGCGAGGCCCATACCTGAAGCACTACCAGTCACAACAATGACTCTGGTCGCCATTTTTTGCCGGTCTCGGGTAGAAGAGGAGGAGAAGAAAAGGAAGAAGAAATAGGGATACAAGGGTTAGAGAGGGAACTGAGTAATGTGGTCTTTGATGTTTATGCTTTCACGGCGTCGCTTGATCCGCATTGCCAGGCGACAGGCCCCTTTTATGCCAATGGGCTTCGTAACGCCTTCCATGGCATCTCAATTCACGGTTGACGTCAGTGTCAGCGGGCGGAGTTAGTTTCCTGCTCAGCCTAAAGTCCGGCCCGGCGCGGTCATCAACACGAGTCCACTTGGCCAGACTGCGCATGCCAACCAGAGTTGGTTCCGCATCTCGACGGGGCTTGGCGCCTCTAGTTGAGAGCAGTCACAAACTCTGGGCAGTCTCTCTCGCGATCTGATACAGGAGCTCGTGGGCTGGCACGACAATTCAGGGCCCATTCGTAGCAAACAACAGCTACATTCGACATCCAACACGGCTCTTATTTTCGATAGCCTTGAAAGTATTGGTCCCAAGAAAACAGTAGGGTTGAAAAGCCTACAACAAGGCCGGGCCTCCTGTATGTTATGTGCGCCCGTGCTACATAGTACAATACATACATTCCGTGATTCCGAACGGATTGGACAAATCAACGACTATGCTCCAACACGCCCAACCCCTTCTGCCGAACGAGGTCCAGGGCCGCCCGCAGCCATGCAACCACCGCGGCATGGCCGGGCTGATACCGCAGACTGTCGATCACGATGCCCAGCGCCGGAGTGACCGACAGCGGTCCTGCGAGCAGAAATTCGTCCTGCATCAGATACTCCACCGATTGACAGACATGATAGGCCATAGAGACATACTCTCTCCGATGCCCTAGGGCCCGAAGTGGCCCCACTGACTCATCAGCAGGTAGCATGCAGCTGTTCGGAAACATGCCATCGTACAAATTGCACAGACCCGACCACAGCAGGACCCGCACCGCCCACAGTAGGATGAGCGTCGCTGCGGTTTCGAAGTCTGCAAAGTGGAAAACGAACGGGAAGAGGTTCTCTGTATGCTCGGGTGCTGCCTGAGGGGGGCTTTTCGAGGCAACTGGCCAGTAGAGCGGGTCCGAGCTGCCACCCTGCATGGCAGCATAGACCATGTCCAGCTTTGCGTCGATTTGCCAGCATTCCGCGATCAGCTGGAAACAGGCCTCGATTTGTTGGTCAGGGCTTAGGCTGGGTAGGAGGAACACCTGCTGGAGAATCCCGGGCGCCTGCGCGAGACAATCGACTACCTGTGTGAAGGGGGTTTTCGGGGTTTGACCCCACGGTTGATTTAGCCACGCAGCATCGGATAGAAAGCTCGAAGAGTGGTTTTCCAGGGCGTAGATTATCTGTGGTCGAGAAGGTGAGTTTCACACAAATGACTCGATCGCTTGTCGGCTCGGGACCCAGCTAGCAGCTAGCAAGGAACTCACCCCTGGCATTCGGACACCGAGGAACAGCTGGTGGCCCGGGCCGGAGCAGTGGGCTTCAATCCCACGCGCTTCCACCAAGGCAAGAAGGCCCTGGCAATGACCAAAATACCCCTCTGACCCGGCATTCGGGCATGCCGTTGCCTCGTACAGACTTAGAGCCATGCAAGCAGCCAGCGTGGCATCATCTTGGGCAAGCCTGCGATTCCACAGCGCGCGCTGCAGCTGCTGAAGTCCTCGGGTGTAGAGGCTGTGGCTGTATCGGACCAATGCCGGGTCGTTGAATTTGTGGCCGACTGCTGCGGCTGCGAGGGCGACACCGCTTACTTCCAGGGCTTGAGTCTTTATGGGGAGCTCTGTAAGAAGTGTGATCCACGATTTGGACGGTGACTTGGACCAATCCGGTGGGAGACAATTGGCGAGAAAATACAAAACCAGGTTGTGGCTCTCGTGGTGTCTCTGGAGCAGGGTGTAAGCCGGGGCCCTCTCCCTGAATGAGCAGAGTGCTTGATCGTCCCCACCAAGCGTGAGTGTCGATGTCTCGACGGCGCGCGGAGAAACCTCAGTTGGTGATCCTGACGGCGAGGGAGAATACTTGAGATACACGTGTTTCTTCTTCGCTCCTGGCTGGACCGTGACAAAGACCCTGCTCCGCTCATACCCGCCACACACTCGATTGGATCGAGTGCATCGAGCACATGCCGGTTTTTGCTGGTCGCACTAACTCGAGACATTCAGTGTCCAGACAAACGATGGAGGAGGGAAAATCGGCATCTACCGCAACTTTTCGTGCTCGACAGGTATTGCAACCCTTGGATTTTCCGGCGACTCCAACCATGCTTCCCGAGTGGGGCCTGAATTGCCCCGTAAGGCTGCCGTGGAATCAACCCTCAGTCGGTGTGGACAAGACAAAGACTTTGATCTGAGATGGCTGGGGTGAGCCAAGCGAGTGAGAAGATCGAGGCTCCCTTGTCAGAGTGGATTTAGTCCTAAACTGGCTGCATCTTGCGTGCCATGAGGTTTCCAAAATCGATGGGCAAGGGAGTTGATTTGGGGCTGAGTCAATGCCCAACTGGGAAAGATTGGGGGAATGTGGATGACTAACATCGCTGCTAGTCCGAAAAGGGGGTTCATCTTGCGAGACCTCGGAGGCTGAGCTTGTCCCCGACACCTGGAAGCCCTACATCGCATCATTGCATCTTGAAGAAAATGTTTATAAAGGAGAGAAATGGTCCGGCAAGATGGATCATAGAACTACTCCTCAATTGGCATTGACTCGGTCATTCTCCCACTTCCCAGTTCAGTGATCATCTTTATCTCCCGATCGCCTTTCAAATATACCTGTTGCGGTTTGATCCTCCGTATATATTCACACAGCAGTCAACCACGCCATCATGTTCAACGACCACTCCAAAGCCAGCATCGCGCAGATCATCTTCTATATTCCCGTCATCTTCGTGTCAGCATACCACGCATACTACCGTCACAAGCGGCCGCGAATGTCATGGCTGATCATACTCTTTTTCTCGCTCAGTAAGTCGACAAACACCCTCGGATTTCAGAGTATGCTATAAGCGAATGATGATTCTGACACATCTGAAAGTCAGAGTCGCCGCCGGCATTCTGGTGGTTCGGTTTGAACAGAAACCCCGAACTGGCATCATGGTCGCCTCGATCATCCTGCTCAATACGGGCGTGTTCCCCTTGATCGCCGCGACCCTGGGATTCATCCGCATCATCCTAGCACACGAGAAGGAGGTAGTCAACCCACGAATCAACCGCTGTCTGATGTTCTCGCGCATGCTGTTCTTTGTCGGACTGGGGCTGCAGATTGCCGGCGGGTGCCTCGAGGGGAGCGACAGTGCCAGCGATGTCGCGACGGGGGTGAAGCTCGTCAAGGCTGGATATAGTATTGTTGTGGTTTTCGAAGCCTGTCTGCTCCTCGTGCAGGCGTACTTCTGGATGCATCTTCCTGACCTCTCGCACATGAGCTATACTGTGAGTTTCTGTCTTCACGATAAACACCAATTGCGTTCCTGCCTGTACTGACCGCTGAACCACAGATTCTCAAGGCGATGGCTCTGGCCCTACCCTTCCTCGTTGTGCGCATCACCTATTTGTTTCTCTCGGTTTTCCATGCGACCGATCTCCGATGGAACGATCTCGCCGGTCCGATCGCTCCGTTTGTTCTCATGGGCCTGCTGATGGAGTATGCCGTGGTTTGGGTCTACCTTGGCACTGGGTTTGTGATTCCCAGCTGGCGAGAAATGAAGGGGGATCGGGTCGTTTCCATGACCAGATACCCTTCGGTGGAACAGGTCTGAGGTGAAGACTGCCTCTGGGAGCGAGAGGCTCCGATAGCCCAACCTCATTTGGAGGACACATCATGATGATCTATAGCCCTCAGTAAACATATACCATGCCGGTATATGAGATGTCAGACAACAATTCGCAACTTGATGTTGTATTTCTCCCCTGTGCCGTACTGAGTTGTTCAGGGGGTTTTATTTATCCCTTGATGGTGATGTAAGATCCATAAATCGAATGAGGGGGAGCTGGTTGCCACTGTGGCGAGTGTTATTAGGGTCTAGAACACTGAAACGTGTACGAGATACAAAATACCCATGACGGTTCAGGACGGAACAGTAACGAGCCTGGCTGCTGTGAAGGTACACATCTCTTAGTCAGCGGAGTGACGTCAATGCATAGAAGAAAATTCAACCTGGATTTGCGTGCCTTCATTCAGCTAAGAGCACAAGCGGTGCGAATAGAAACCATCGTTCAATCAGTCCCTTGCCTGAAGATTGACCACAGGTGTAGCGCTATTGCCATACGGGAAGGATCTGGGGTGTCGAAAACCAGGCCTCGAAATTCTGATGCGTCGGTCAACATCTGGCCTGATTTGTGTGCTTGTATGCGATCCTAAGCCTTAATTTCGCCGCCGGCAAGAGAGAAAGCTCCTGGGGCAAGAATAGCCGACGCCTCACGCTAACTGGAGGGCCTTCCAAGCTGCATTGACGATGGTAGGTCTTCAAGTTGCTCATGTGGACGACGGTTGTGGATTGTATTCTTTCTCACCGTGCTCACATTCCTAGCGAATTGGGTAAGAGGGTAATGGATGGGCTCGCCTCTGGAGTGTCGATCGATTGTCGATCGATTGCTGCCAAGCGGCCAAAGTGCTGCAAGGGTGAGGGTCAGTCGGCAAACGTTTCCACTCTCACACACACTCTCATTAATGTAAACCACGGAGCTGATTTCCGGTAAAATACAGATTACAGCGATTAGATACGATACTCACGGGGAAAGGACGGTCGATCCCGGCGGGGCTCGGAATAAATATCCTGCCCTCAAGCATGCAAAATGACTTGTTCTTCCCTCCCCCCCAAATTCGCCCGTGCATCAGCCTGGGTAGCCCTGAGCTCAACTCCCTTCTTTGTCCCCTTGCTTGGCTTGGAGAAAAGGTACTGTACTTGAGTATGAAAATGGGCCACCGCCCTCATCTACTCATCTTGAACTTCCTTCCTTCCCTTCCAGTCCACCCTCCCCCCTCTTCTTTCCTCCAATGCAGCCCCTTGCCCCCGCCCCGTCGGCGCGTGAGGGCGCGCGAGGGTATCTGACGCCACCCACCAACATGTCGCTCCCCCCACAGCGAAAAGCCTCGATGGCGTGTAGTGAGTGTAAGCGACTCAAATCCAAGGTAGTCACCATCTGTTCACCACCTGTCTGGCCTGCACGACTGAACCCTCGACACAGTGTCGCGTGCGCGACGGGGCCACCTCCTGCGACCGGTGTACCAAGCAGAAGCTGCAATGTGTATTCGATCTCGACGACGATGGCCGCCGGCGATTGGCCCACAAGCGCAAGATCGAAAAACTCGAGGAGGAGCGCGATCTTCTACTGCAGGTCGTCCACTCGCTGCGCGACAGCTCGGACGCCAAGGCCGCCCAGTTGTTGAATCTCGTGCGCAGCAAAGCCCCGCTGGGCGAGCTCAAGCTCTATATGGACCAGTATTTGACCGGGGAAGATCGATATGAACTCCTGTATGCGGCCAATAAGAAGGTCTCTGTCCACCGAGCCATGGATATTAACCGCTTGGTCGACATCCCCGTGTACCGGGTACCTGCCGCGCCCTGGACCTCCGTCACCACCTCGGACGATCTGGTATCGCATCTTGTCTCTCTCTGGTTCACCTGGAGTCACCCTTTTTACAACTGGGTCGATCGCGACCTGTTCCTTCGGGATGCCCGATCAGGCAAGCTCGACTCGCCATTTTGCTCTCCGTTCCTGTTCAATTGCATTCTTGCAGAAGCCTGTGTAAGATGACTGACTACTCGGCTGAGTTGCGGACCAGCCACTAACCCCCCATGCGATCACAGTTCCATTCCGACTATCCGGAAGCTTACGCCGATCCTGATGATCTTAACTCGAAGGGGGCGCATTTCTATGAGGAGGCCCGACGGCACTATGAGAAGGTAGAAGGGCAGCTGGATGTGCCTACCCTCCAAGGTTCTGGGGTGATGTATGTGTGGTGAGTTCATTCACGATTCTTGCAACCGGATCCTCCTGCTGAAGAACCATCTCTAGTATGGCAGCCATGGGGAAGGACCGTGTGGGATGGTGGTATCTGAGCCAGATCAACGATATGGCCCAGGAGTACTCAAAAAGACACCGACCACCGTCGGTGGAAACCCGGGAGAGCCGCGCGGTGAACAATACTATTTGGGGCCTCTATTGCCTCACAGCGTGCGTACTTGTGTTCTTTGCACCGCTATCTTCATTTTTTGCTCCTGTTGTAATTTCGGTGGTCGCGTCGCAACTTGGCTTACAGCTCCCAGGACTGCATCGATTGCATACATGAAATACCTGGCTATTGAGCAGCCCGGAAGGCCCCTTCTTCCATGCGATCACGCCGAAGATGAGACCTGGTCGCCCTATCCCCAGCCGCAGGCCACCCCACTGCAGTCGCATATCCCTTGTGTCTTCAACAGCTGGTGTGAGTTGAGCAAAATCAACGTGGATACCAACAAATCGATACTTGGAACCGGGTCAAAACTACTACGAGGCGACCTGCACCGGACTTTGAAAGAGGTGCAACCAAGGCTGGATGATTGGAGGGCCCAACTACCAGAATGCCTGAGCCTCGAAAACAGCTCTGTCCCGCAGGCGTTTAGCTTGCAGTAAGTCTTGCGATTTCAGCTCCGTTTCCACTCTCTTCTCTCACTCTCGAAACTACATGCGGCCGTGGAAAGTGGACTAACGCAGCATACAGCTTCTTCTACCATACCCTCATAATCATGCTCTGGGGCCTCCTGAAGGGGGAGGCTAACCCTGATGATGCCGACGAAGAAGACGACGACGACGACGAGAGCGACCGCGCCGTCACCGCCGCGACCGCGCAGAAGCTCTGCGTGGAGTCGGCGCTGGCCATCGTGCGCCTCCTGCGCATCCATCGCACGCGCTGGGGGATCAACTATATCCACCCGACCACTATCCACTGGGTGAGCATGGCGCTGTTTACCCTGCTCGAGGTGCTGGACCACCCGGACCCGGAGTACAAGACCTCATTCACCGAGCTCTGCGTTTTCGCCCGCGCCCTTTCTCGGAAATGGACTCTGATGAAGGGGATCCTGCGCATGATCCAGGTCTCGGCGCAGAAGAACAGCGTCGTGCTGCCGCCGGAGACCGACGCCCTCTTCACCGAGTTCGAGCAGGCGATGTGGGAGAGCAAGGACCGCGAGCGTTTCAAGAGTCTGTACCCGAACCCGAATTCCTTGTCTAAGACGGGTGGTGACCGGTCGCAGTTGGATGACGCCGAGCTGGATAGCTTTTTAGAGAAGTGGGATACCCTCCACGTTGATGAGGATGGCGAGCGGGAGGAGTCGGCCGGTAGTGGGCAGGTCTAATGCGAGGGTGGGGGTATCCTGACATTCTCACTGCCTTGAGTGATTTGTGAAGCAGACCAGAAATTGAATTAATTGAGAACCGTGGCTCGTCTGTGTCGATACACGGGACACAGAACGACATTCTGTCAAGCTTTGGAGATATGTTCATATGAAAATCCATGGGCCAACGATCAACAGAGGACCCGGAAAGAAGAAACAGCTGCTCCCATCCTGAATTCCCTGCAATATTCATCTTCCATGATCACTGAGTATCAAATCTTTATTGTACCGAGAACACCATGTCATCGTACACCTGCACAGAAGACGGTAAAGAATGCCGGGACGCGGCAGATTTGATTGAGCATATCCACGACCGACATACGCAGTGCTGCATTCGGCGGGCTTCTTCAGAATTGTCCTGGGGTTATGGCCCCGATAGTCACGGGCACATCTGGTATTGTTTTGAATGCGATCGGGGGATCAAAGACCACCGTAGTTTTGACTCCGATCGTGCGATGTTGGATCACCTGCGCGATCGCCATGAAGACTTGATGGAACTGATCCGGGAGAACGGGACGTGTATGTGCTACTGTGTGTACGAGTCTGCCGATTTTGAGCACTGGGAACTGACATCACGCATCGTGTTCGTTAGGGGACGTCTAAATCGCTTATCACAGAAGAAGTGCCTTGGACAATGACCAGCCCTGAAAGTTTTCTCTAAATGTGTTTGCATTCTATGCGATGTTATCTTCCCAGCAAGACGAATGATCATGCCGATCTTTATTATATTGTACCCATTTCTTACCGGTTCTGCTGGGTCTGATGTCAAGAATTGTGAAGGCAACATGAAGCGTTGTATACGTATTCGCAGAAACGTGCGTATCAGGAAATACAGTTGGAATGCCGTGGCAGCGCCTTACTACCATCTCTTAAGCCTAAGAAATGAGCCCCACCGCAGTGATATCTCCCCGCTTCATCCCGGCATCTTTGTGTCCTTGAGCTATACAACGAAGAGAAAGCTTAGGCTGACTGCGGCGATGCCATGGAAGCCACAACATGAAGGGATCGCTAGCTGTCGGCCGCTGTCATTGTGGTTGAGTGGATGGAGATGGTGCATAACTAGTGCTGACCCCAGCTAGATAATAGACGAGCAATTTCATATCCAAGATAGCTAGCAAAAAATAGTTCTGAGAGCTAGCGAGCTGATTTGCGCAGGCGAAGCCTGGTGAGGGGAATGGGCAGCTCACCCCTGCTAGCGTGCTGATGGTGTCGGCTATGCTGGCAGATGGCCGAATCTCGCCCTGCGGCACAGCGCGCTGCAGCAGACTAGTTGCTGGGCTTAGCGAGGCTTAGCAATGCGACGAACTCTTCGCCCAAGCTATTTATTCCGTCTTGTTCCCCAGAGCCGGGGCAGGGGAGCGATAGTGTGGGACTGGAGCGTGAAATCATGATGTACTGGGGCGGATGCGTTCTCGCCTGCCTGCGATTCTTTTGCATCGTGCATGCGGTTAGTACAGGCTATTCGTCTGTGAGACCCGATCATCATGGCCCCGACCCAGATACCGCAATTGCGGTGAAACAAGCCCTGCGCGCAGTGGGAGGCAAGACCTACAGACTCAACGAGACAGCCTTAACCAAGAGCTTGGTCGACGCCACTCTTTTCTCGATCGAAGCGAGGTACCGCGCGGCTCGCCCAGCATGAAGATTCATCACGCGTAAGCTGACGTTACTCTTCAACTCCCAGTGACTCTAGCACATCG